AGAAAAGTAGATAACTTTCCATGCAGTATGCTTAAGCAACTCCTATGTGAATATGGAGAAATGTGTTATAAAATTGACTATGTATGCCGTGTCATATAATAAATAGTGTTTGGCTCGCGGGAAGGTATGATGTGCGGATTATGAAGCCTCAAGGAATTATATCCCCTTTATAGCTAGACATCACACTATTGCCAGTTTATGTTAAAATGGAGCGATAGAAATGCAGTGCAAACTGCATGCGTCTATGTTTTCCATTTCTGATTTCTGTCTTTGCCCTTATAGTCGCGTTCGACAAATCTGTCAACCCTACAACTTCCAGGCCATATTTTTTTCAGTTTTCTGAGAGGCTTGATTTGGTTATAAAGGATCGTTGTTTTTTTTTTTTTTATTAAATTTGCTGAATTTTCAGCGACATTCAACCTACAAGGTGAAACCATATTTTTACTTTCATGTTTACTGTGACTTCGTTTGATCAGGTGATTTGCACAAAACTTTTTTTTAATTTATTCATTATTATTATTATTTTATTATTTTTTGTGAAATTTTATTCAATGCTTTCCCGTTTGTATTTTTACCAGCTTTCCAATCTAGTTTTAATTTTACAACATGATGTATTATCATAACCTTCTTCTCTAGGTATTCCGTGTATTTTTTGCTTCTGCGATGACATGAAATTTTTTTTAAAAATGTTTTTTTTAATTTGATTTTGTCGGCAGATTAACTTAAGTTTCTCTAAATGCCACGTTGCTGACTATTAACTAGTACTGCAAAGGTGAGAAGAATTTTTTTCAAGCAATATACACACACCTCATAGAAATTGACTGTATGCAGCATCCTATTGTAAACAAATTATTTGGTCCTAAGGACCATGTTTCTGGGAAGTACCTCATGAAGCCGCAATGCATTATGTCCTTTTTTATAGCTCAACATCACACAAGTACCTTGTTCCAATTTTTATGTACTAATTTTTAATCGAAAAAGGCTTCACTTGATCAGATTATGCTTCCAAAAACGCGCGCGCGTTTGTATTTTGGTAAAGTTCGCCCTACAAATGTCAATATAAGGTATTTCTTTTTTGCTTCAATAATTATAACTCCCAGCTTAGCTGTTTAGTTTTTATTTTACGGGATAATTGATGAATGCCTTTTTTTCCAACTTTTCCTGTCTCCCTGTTGCTTTTTCTACGTAATGTTTCCAACGTTTGACTACGTCAGGAGAAAGCTTGTAAAATGTCTCATTCTTGACGTCATGTACTTTTGCGGACTTAAGCGTAATTTTCTATGCAATAGAAAAGTGAATAAAATAAAATTGGGCTCAGGTGCCGCACGATGATAAATAAATTTTGCACTCTTGCAAATGTCCCATGAAGTGGTAAATGTTGCGAACACGCATCAAGATTCTTAATGTTTGAAACAATAAAGTTGTAATGCTAAGTAATATACTATGGAATATCTAAACAAACATTCTTTTCTAATGTCTGCTCTTCTAAGTGTTCTTAACTTCTTTGAGCAGTATATTTTCACAGATGTACACACGCTATCCTCTTCTTTTCAATAAATATAAGTATAGTTTTATTCCATGCAAGAGTGAAACCATCTTAGCATTTTACGCAGATCACCCTTTTTCTTGTCAGCTGACAACATTAAAATTACTATAGGCTAAGTACATATTTATTATGAAAGATAGTCAGCCTTGCCGTCAGAATTGACACCAAAAAAGGACATATTTTAATCTTTATCAAAGAGCTATTGACAACACGTTCATATGCACTGAAATAAAAGGCTGGTCATGTATTTTACATATCACACATGATTCTGAACAAAAGATGGGCCAGTGTCATTCCAGGATGACCTTTATATTTGCTTGGGTCATTATGCACTGGACATAGATAATGCGATTTGTCACAATCATTCCACTTCATCGGGTTTAGAATGTAAAATCCATCTATTATTTCTACACCGTATTTTAACATCTTTGCTCTGATGATTTCATTGACCGCCGCAACCACGTAATCATTCCCATCCCTTTCCCCCAAAATTCTCGGCAAAATATTTAGATATATTAGACGGATGTTTGCAGTTTTAGGATCTTCCCGCACACTGTCTAGGAAGTCCCCAAAATGACCAATAGCATATTTTATAAAACTGTAGGCATTTGGATTATAATGCACTAATTCATGTATCCCAAACCCCATTAAAACCACATCATTTCTAGTAGCCTGCTTGCTTTGAAATCTAGAAGAAAGTGAACTAATTGCTTTTTCGCAATCGGAAGCAAGGGGAGCCCACTTGTATATAATATTGCTTAGACCTATAATTTCCTTTCGGTTTTGAACGGTGTGAGTGGAATTTAAAACAGGGGAAACATGAAGGTGAGCGGAATTTAGAACAGGGGAAATGTGAAATGCATACGGTGAAATATGCCTATATTGCGACAATAGCTGATTCAAGTAGTTACTGAGATATCTAAGGTGTGAATCTCCAAAAATTCTAAAAGTGGTTTTCCTCTTGTAGCATTTCCAAAGGTCTGCCTCACTCATGAACTCGAAAATGCATTTGCTTTTAGTTCCCCATTTCCACCCTCCTTGAATTTTCCACCAGCGTCCATTAACGTAATTCTTGATGTTTGCCTTAGAACAGTTTCTGGTTTCTGATCTTATCTTCTGTTTCACTGATTTTTCGGGGTAATCATAGTGAAACCCATGTATCCTTTTGTGGATTCTACAGGGAAAAGTTTTTAATCGTTTTCTTTTAGTATCATGGTGTCTGAACGCTTCAAAGTCCGTGTAGTCTAAGTATATTGTACCTTGTATACTAGAATGAACATCGCAATAAGCGACGTAGGTTCCATTAAAGAAATCTCTCACCGGACACACCATGGATTCATTTCCCGCCAACTCAATACGGAAATTACTTCCCCCGGATGACAACACGGTCATTTTTTCCGACACCCGTTTTCTTTCTTCTATGTAAATGTACAGTATATGGTTGTGAGACATTGTCACATTGAAATTGTACTTGTATCTAGTATTGTTGTTGGCATGGCAGAAATCACTTTTGAAATCAGTCTGCGGGTTGAAATTCGACCAAGCACGTTCTAGCTGTTCCAGTTCAGCAATGCCATTTCTTACCCAGTCGTGTTCATCCGCAAGATCATCCATTTGATGTACTTGGGCCACTTCATGTTTAAATTGCCCATCAAATATCATTGTTTTCTTATTTTTTTTCAATAAATGATGGAAGGTAGTGCCTCTACTATAAGAATTCAGCATAATGAAAATAGTATAAACCGCAATGCACACGACTGCAAGTACCATAGCAGAAACTGCCTGAGTTGAACTCCTCTTTCTCATTTTTGAAAAGAATAATGCAATTGAAAGTTCAGACTCGAGTTACCTTTTCTTCCAAGTTTTCCTGTCTACTACTTTTTTTTCCTGCGGTGACAATTATTACAAAATGTTCTTCAAATTTGGTTGCGTCAGGAGATTACTGTCAAGTTATTAGATGTCACGTGTCTGACGATTAACTAGTTTTGCTGACGTAGATTGAAGAAAAGATAACTTTCCATGCAATATGCTCACGCAACTCCTATGTGAATATGGAGAAATGTGTTATAAAATTGACTATGTATGCCGTGTCATATTAAATAGTGTTTGGCTCGCGGGAATGTATGGTGCGCGGATCCTGAAGCCTCAAGGTATTATATCCCCTTTATAGCTAAACATAACACTATTGCCGGTTCATGTTAAAATGAGATATGGGAATGGCTTTTAATATTCAAACATATATACATTTCCGTCTATACATTTCCCTTCCTCTTCTGATCACCATTTTTGTGCATACAGTCGCGTTCGACAGATGTCGTTCAACACATGTCTACCCTGCAGGCCCTATTTTGATTTTATTTGCGATTGTTCGAGTGGCTTTCCTTGGTTAAAAAGGATAATTGTTTTTATGAAAGTTGCCGAATTTTCGGCGACATTCAACCTACAAGTTTCAAACCATATTTTTGCTTTCATATTTACAGAGTGACTACGTTTGATTAGATTATATTCTCAAAAAACCTTTTTGTTAAATATTTTTCGGAGCTGTCCCGTTTGAATATAAGCCAGCTTTACAATCTAGTTTTTATTTTACAACTTGATATATTATCAAACCTTTTCCTCTTGGTATTCCTCTTATTATTATTATTAATATTATTATTTGCTTCTGCAGTTAAATCTATTACAAAAAGTTTTTCTTTGGTTTCGTCACTAAACATATATATATATGTATAAGTAACTTATAGTTCACATAGAATGTCTATTTATAATATTTTCTAAATTCTATTTTCTATTCGCAGTATTAATTAATTAGTCTGTGCCCTGAATATCCCGCGGCGTAATTACTGGCAGCGCGAGCCAGTTACTTATACAAAGCTGTAATTAACTCTCGGCTGTGCTCGGAGGAGATTCTGATACCTTTACGCATGCGCAGTAGGAATTTAGCAAGTCAATGGCGACCGCGATTGCTTTGAAAAATGTGTTTGTCGATTTTGTGCAGATTTCGCGTCTGTATGTTTGAGTCGTCACACCTAAACCGATGAACTCCACAGCTTAGAGATACTACTGCGCATGCGTTAAGGTATCAGAATCTCCTCCGAGCACAGCCGAGAATTAATTACAGCTTTGTATAGTAACTGGCTCGCGCTGCCAGTAATCACGCCGCGGGATATTCAGGGCACAGACCGTGATCACCAAACATACCGCGAATAGAAAATAGAATTTAGAAAATAGACTTTCCATGTGAATGAAGCCTTAAGTTATTATATCCTCTTTGTGGCTAGGCATGACGGCAAATTTTATTTTGGAATTTAACATTGTTCATTTGGAAAATATTTTGGTGTTGGAAAATCTAATACTTGTCCTCCAAGAGAAATATAAAATGTCTTTCAGTGTTTCTCTGTGGTCTTGTGTAAACCACCACATGCATTTAGGAAAGCTTAAAAAGAAAACAATGCAGTTAATAAAACAAACACAGTGTTTAATACTAATCATGTAGAGTGCTTAGCAACATTCATTACTGTAGCTCACATAGTACTTCATACTGTGCACCAAACAGGTTCTCCTGAGGTAACCATTACGTGCAAACAGGGTGAAAAATAATCCTTGCTATAAAATGAAAGCTAGAGATTACAGTTTTCTGCATCCTCAAACAAACATACTGCTCTTAAGAAATAGATCTCAGGTTTTATGGCCATGTTGAAAACTGTTCTGTTAACCTTTATGGTTTCTGAAGGTAGGAAGCGTCCGCTCTTCCATGATTCCCTTCACACCAGAATCTGAGAGTTCTGCTGCTAACTTACACATTAAAAAAAAAAAAAAAAAAAAAAAAAAATTGTATGAACCCAGTTTGTGGACTTTTATTTGTTAAATAGGCCATTTCCACTGATCCTTCGGAGCATCTCCTAGGAGTGGTTCCCATGGTTGCCATATTAACATACGCCTGGCAAGTGATAGTTCATTTTTTGCCTAAAGAACAAAAGAAAAAAATTGGACAAAATAAAACTGATATGTACATGAAACACTGTTACAAATTTTGTACAGAGGTTCAGAGTTTGAAAATGTGCTTTGTTTAATTACTTAAAACTGCGTCATAACTGCACTCTGACATAAGAATCAAAGAACACTCTCTGATCAAATTTTTTTCAATGTCTTACTATTTTGTCAAAGTCTAGATTTTTTCCTCAGAAACACATAATGAAATACAACGCATAAACCTTTTTGTTTTCAGTCCTAAATGTGTGCCTTTGCTATAATCAAGAGTGGGTTTTTATCAATTTATATTCCAGGACAGAAGACATAACACATTAGCTTGCTTATCAAATTCTACCAGATGCTTAAGACAATCTACTTGACTAAAAGTAAACTTATCTAAAATATCTGGATAACATTTTTCTCCATTAAATACGATCATGAACTTGTGTCAAATTAATTAAGGACTGCAAATAAATACAAATAAAATGCATGATTGCTGCCTAAAAGCCCATTCTTACCTGTACAATAATTTCTTCTATTTGACCACAATTAATTTTCTTTTCTATCTGAATGATGTCTTCAGTCTGAAATAAAATGAAGATTAATATTGTCCTATTGGAACCTCAGCAATCTACTGTTCCCTACATAAGACAGAAAGCAAGTGTATAACAACACCCAAGCTTATGCCAGCATAATTACCATGGCTAACCATAACTTTTAAATTATAAGGTTACTACTAAAGTAACTACTTCTAGTTGATTACTATAATTACCACTAAAAAAAATAATAATAATGACTAAGTTCTTTAAAATGTCCTCCCCAACCTCGCTTTTACTACCACATTACAATTATTTCTAAATTCATTTATATTATGCATATTATGTTACGAAATAAAAGTTTGCTGAGCTCCAGGTGCAAGATATATTGAGCTAGCTGTTATGATGCAAACCAGGGGCGGATTTAGGCCGTCTTCTGGGTCTTCCGGAAGACGGCCAGATTTTCAAGTTTACATTGATGGGTACATCTGTTGGATTAGGAAGTTTAAATCTTATACCAACTTAAACACAGATGACACCAAGAAGATCAGAGCCAGTAAATGACTGAAAAACCTCACATATACTTACAGATTTAACTATATCTACCCTATGTTTTAAAATTTTTTCTGTGTTTTTTCTATATGCGGCACTGGCTGGCATTTTTTCCAGTGATTCAAAGGTCAAACCATAGAGATGCAACAACATCTGCAAAATAAAGTAATAATCATAAAAATTATATGCAACTCAGTTAATATGCTTAAATTTACATCTGTATAAGAACAGCATTAAGGCTAGAAGTATTGATAATGGTACTTGAAAATAGATAAATATCTGTACTTTCCTCAGTACTAGTAAGTCATATCAATGACCTGTCAAGGGCACTGAATTACTGCAGCCTGATTACTATTGTTAAAAATATTGATTCGATCAAACTGTTTTTAAGTTTGACAGCAGCAAATAAATTATAATAATCATAATGTATTGTGTACAATTAATGTACTAAAACCATTGTGACATGACTTTATTTCAAGATTTGGTAAATCAAATTACTAGTACATCAACTACTGTAAGGACATACAAATCGATACATACCTTTCTTGGGTTTTGTGATACAGGTAGACCTGTAAGGCCAGTTGACTGAAATATAGTATAAAAACAGAATATTAAATTGTTTCCATAGTCAAAGTAGAACTTTTATCACAAAGGCATGAACAAAATATCGTGGCACAGCATTATTATGGGCAAAATTGTTTTTAAAAATTCACTATAATTAACTAGCATCTCACTTTATTATGACATATTATTACATTAAGTTAATCAAAATTGTTTTCAATGTTAAATCGTTCTCTAAAATTGTTGTCAAGTGGTTTGTAAGACATTAAATACTTACGGCTTTCAAAATTCTAGCAGCCATTTTGGCCTTCTCCCTTGAAGTGAATGTATTGGCTGTAGCTTGCAGCAGTATCCTATCAGGCCACAAGCTGACCGTAATATGTCATCTCAAGCCAAACATTAAATGTCATCTCAGGCCACAGAGTTTACACCGAACTTTCCTGTCATTAGGAATCTACACACACTAAATTTTATATCAGTAACTTCAATATCTTGTTTCGATTAATGTAATACCGGGAAGTATAATGAAAACCAGTATTTTGGGCAGATCATTCACAATCATATGTAATCTTCACAGTTTCTTAAAGATGGCGATGTGCCAAGACAAGATAGACCAAAACGAGAAATTCATACTTAAACTTTTCATTTCCCATTTCATCGATTGTAATTTGTTATGATATAGAGGGATTTATAGATTAAAATGTCTAACTATATTCAGACATAGATAAAATACAGGAAGTCCACGTTAAGTTTTTTTTGGTTTCAGCGACACCTGTTGACCAGATAAATTTATTGGTGGGAAAACATTGTTGGACGAAAATTGATCTTGGAAGTAAGTTTCTCGATTGCCATCTTTTCTGCTTTGTTGTTCTCGTGATTAACTCACTAGTCATACTTTTAAACTTAGTGAGGTTATGTTTTCATTAAGTACAAGAGATAATTCATTAATACACACACATTTAAACACATTTTGTCCACTGTCTATATTCCAGCCATGCCAGGTGGACTTGGTTCTCAGCAGTTTCAAAGCATGGCTGCAGGGGCCCTAGCAGGGGCTGCCTCTGTCTTTCTCACCTACCAGGCATATTGTTACTATAGACGCACGCATATACATAGCCAACAGAGAGGGAATCCACGTACAGAGCCGCTGGACACGGAAATGGATATTGTGGGACAAAATACTAGTGAGATGTTTTTGAAATGAAAATGATGAATGTATGATGAAATAAAATGTGGGATAATAAAGTCAGGTTCATGTCAAACTTTGAAAGTATCAGCAGTAAGTAGATTAACAGTTTAACTGGTATGTGCCCAGTCTGTTACTGTCGTAGGGAAATAAATGCCAAACACAAAGACCTTTCTGACTTTTTTATTCAAACTACAATGGGGCCTTTAAACATTGTTCACAATATTTGTTATAAGATTACTATTGCTCTTTTGTATTGAATAAAAAAAAAACGTGAATGTAATAACTAAGTTAATTTAAATGTAAAAATTTCAGATCTTTCTGACAGCATGATGGAATCTCCACAGGCTTCAAGAACACTGCATATACTTAACTCGCCTCCCAGACATGCAGATGGATTGATGCCAGTTCTCCCAGAATCTCAAAAAGGAGAGGCGCAGGCGTTGCTTCACCTTCTGTATCACATAGCAGAAGATCAGGGGAGACTTGGTACGACACAAGATTTATTATGTGTTAATGACATACATTATTATTGTTTTTATTATCAGATTTTTCTTCTTTTTGCAAGATTATAATTTTGAAAAGAGAGCATAGAAATTTAAACACTGCTGTAAGTTCTTCCAACATTAAGTGGAAGGTAATAACTCTAATTTTTGTAGAACAGTTTCATTATCAATGTTACTGTAATAGACTTGTGAAGATTCTTTTGTCTATAGCTACTTATATTTGTCTGGTTTTACACATCTATCACAACCTCATTCCCTGATGAAGTCTGACTGCAAGCAGACAAAATACTGGCTGGTAAGAGCAGACAATATAAGTCTGGGGTAGCGCTTACACTCGCCAATTTAGCCAAATGCTAAAACTTACTTAAATTGGCTAAAGAAAAAGTGCTTGATTTGACTTGTTTTAGTCAAATTATAACCATTTTGATAACGAATTGACAAAAAGGTGGTGATTTGGCTGAGCGAAAAAAATTGCTAGCGCTACCCCAGTAAGTAGCTATGGACAAAAGAATCTTCACGTAGTCTATGAAAGTATTTTGTCTTGCATCCAGATGGGTATGTTCACAGGGGGATCACGTGTAACCTCTGTGGTCAGAGTCCTGTGTGTGGAACCAGGTTCAAGGTAAGCATGTTGTCTAGAAGCATCATGTACATGCACACACACACGCACACGTGCACACACACACACACACATGCTCACACACACACACACACATGCATACACACACACACACACTAACCTTCTGTTCCTAATAGAAAAAAATACTAAGTATATTTTGTACAGAAATTGTAATTAAAAAGCAAGATAAAGATGTTTACATGTTGAAGTCCAGAAAAATTAGATAGTTTTTTGTGGTTTGTGCAATTGTATTTCATTATGTTTACTTTGGAAGACTTTCATTCTTTTTTAAATGCAATTGTTTTTTCATCTGGATTGATATAAATATCGTGTTTCAGTGTGCCAACTGTATCGACTATGACGTCTGTGAGAGATGTGAACCCAAAGATTTACACAACAAAACCCATTTATTCATCAAGATCCGCATCCCTCTACCACCTCTTGCCAACCCTAGGATGCCTTTGTTTAAACCCCTCTATCCAGGTATATATGTTCAATTTCAATTTCAATTTATTTCTGTACTGGTACATAAATAATCATGACCTTGTAGAATAAAATATAATAAAAATAATACGATTGGTGCATTATCATTCTCTTATTGGTAATTGGATTACCTGTTTGTGAATGAAGAAGTATATATCTTTATATATATTGACAATAGTGCTGACATCTGCTGGCCAAATAGATATTTTGATACTTGAAACTGCGCTGCCATCTGGTAGTCAATTAATGATATTTTATTGCTCAGCACTGCTGCCTGCTTAATGTTTGGTTTGAATGCATGTATGTCTTCAGAGCTGGCCAGTTTCAATACTTGGGTCACATAACATCATAAAATAACTGAAAACAAACTCTTAATGTTTTACCGCTCTTTTTCCAGGAAAGGAATATAATGTTGTGAAACTTAACAAAGAAGAAATATCCATTTTTAAAAAAGAGACTTTATGTAAGTACTGGTATCTTTCCCTTGGCACAGCTCATGATAAAGGTGACAATATTTAAAAAAGCTGACAGCAGTTAATGTTAATGGTCTATTTCAACATTTGCTTGATGCTTAGGTTTTCATTTGGATAATTATTGATAACATGATATTAAATGGATTCTTTTTACTTATTTTTGATTTTTTCTTTCATTTAATGCCCTCTGTTCTAGATTTACGCTTTTAATATAGAAGTGCATTTTCTCTCTTCTGCTGTGTGTGATTGTGTACCCTCTGAAAACTTAAAAAATAATCTTTTCTTTGATGTAAATCTTCAGTTGACCAACATGAGCTGGAGTCCCTGTACGACCAGTATAAGTCCCTGTGTACAACAGAGAGGGGGATAACAAGGGATGTCTTCGACCAGTGCCTCGGTCCACTTGCGTCCACTAAAAACCTGGTAATGGACAGGATGTTTAAGGTAAGGTCATGGCGTACTCGTCAGCAGGCAAAGTCTTATCATAGGAAAAGGGATTTTGTCGTCCAATATCAATATCAAAGACATAAAAAAAGAAAAAAAACTTTATAACCTTATTTATCTTATATATATCTATGTGTCTCTCAGTCTGTCTACTTGTCTTTTTTCCAGCTGATTTTTTGTAAAATCCAAAATTAACATAATTTTAAAATGAATTGATTATGAGTTATCCATTTAATTTAATTTATTTATTGTAGTTTTTCTCTTACTCGACTAATTTCAGTTTTATGATCGTAATGATGACAAGTACATAGACTTTCATGAGATGGTCACTGGGATGTCCATACTGGTTAAGGGAACCAAGATGGACAAGCTGCCTTGTAAGTGAATGGAGAAAGTGATAATTATTTCACATCACATTCTTATTTTATTTTTTTTTTTCGCATTTAACACCCCCTGGTATTATACTCTGTACTCTGTAAAAGGTAGAGACTAAATTTGCTAAATAAAGATAAATTTGTGGGATTGGTAGCCTATTTATGTAAGATTTATGTAATGAAAAGTGAATTAATTGAGTAAAAGGTGAAATATTACTTGGATGCTAATTTTTAGAGATCTTATTTATTTATTTATTTATTGATTGATTGATTGTAAATGTTTATGTTTAGATGCCTTTGAAGGCTATGACTTGGAAAACAAAGGGTCCATTAGCAAGGAAAACCTGAGGAGAATGTTCAAGGTTTGGCTAATAAAATAGTTTTTCCTTTACTTGGGAACATAATTATTCATATCGCATCATATTTATTCAATAACAATTTCTTTTCATTCAATTCTAAATTAAATATTATAGTATTTTTTGATCAAAAAGAATGAAAACTTTGCTATATCTACACATTTAAAACTGATTCAGTGGAAAAATATAAACTTGACAAAATAGAAAAATGATAGCTGAAGTGAAAGTTTCAAATTGGCTAGAATAACATTCATTTAAAGGCCACTTTTCCAATGTGTGATATATTAATCTGTATCAACAAGTTGTGTTCAGACATCTTGTCGCAACACCGATAAGAATACCATGCAATAGGAAAAGGGCCTAACATAGATTTAAGTGAAAAATTAGGATCGTTATCTATTGTTCATTTAAGACTATAATAATATGATAATGTTAGCATTATTCGAACATATTCTTCAGGCTTATTTCAACATAACCATAGAACTAGTGCGAGATGTAGTCAAGGCCTGTGAGGAGGAGATGGTACGTAGAATATATCACTTGAGTCTGAATGCCATATATATTAAGACATCTTTTAAAAAATTGATAACATGATTATCAACCTTAGAATTTGTGGTGAACTGGATATAGTTATGTTCATGTTTTGGATTATTTAAAAGTCATGGTAAGAAAAAGAAAGTGAAGACAGCATGGTGATATCTGATTTATAATAAGTATTTATGTTTTTACTCCTCACCAGTAGATCTGAAATACCATAATGAAATAGCAGACTTGAACACAATTCAGCAAAGAAAAGTTCAACCAAATAAAACAAATATAACATATTATTTCACACTCTAGATGGCAAACTTCGATGACAGTTCTGGCAAGCCAGTATCAGCTCTGTTCAGTGCCCCTATTCCAATCGAGAGCACAAACAACAACATCCCTAGTAAACAACCATTTCCCGGGAACCCAGGAGGAAGGTGGGTATTGGCCTGAAGTAATGTTTTTATCTATATAAAACTGACAAATAATATCAAGGCAGCCATTGCAACTCGGGCAAGCAATGCATAGCATATACTGTGGGTGTAAAAAGTGTTGGGAATATTAAAGTAAAATGCATGTCTTTATGTAGGTTATTTTAAAGTCCCTCTACAAATTTCATTCTAAAATGTTAGTAAAAACTCTTGAATGAGATTTCAAGTTTGCAACTTGCCACTGAATAAGACATTTTGTGTTCCATTGTCAATGGCAGTGAATTAAATTGATTTTAATAATTGATTCATTTACCATGTGTTGTCATTGAAGATGGTTTATCTATGAAATGTCTTCTAATTTCAAACCAATTGCCAGATGACAGTGAGTAAAAATGTTGGTTTGTTGTTTATTTGAACATCTTTGTCTTATCTAGGGAGACAATGTGGCCAGTGATGGAAGCAATGTCCCAGGATGCAATAGAAGAAATGGTGGACAACATCTTTAAGATGGCAAAGCTTCTAGATGGACACAGGTAATTTTATAGCAGTAATCCTCTCTCTTTAAAATGAATGATTATTCAATAAAGAATGATTTTTTTTCTTTTTTAAGGTAGTTTCACCTATTTTATTCTGATATGCAATTTGCAACCTTTTCTGAAATCAAAATTTTGCCCCTGGCATTAAAAACATTTCATTGCATGATCAAATCTTAACATTTGTGGATTAAGGGAAAAAAAGAAATTGGCTATATAGTTTCTTCTTTATTTCAGGATGCCATTTAGCAAATTTAAAGAGATAACTCTTCAGGACGGCTCCTTGTGTGCCTGGTTTGATGCTCTTGGAACTGTCTTCTGATGACCACACGATGACCAATCACTGACCATAGGACACTTGGTGACCAGTCACTAACCATAGGACATTTGATGACCAGTCACTAATCATTGAACACTTGGTGACCAGTCACTGACCATAGGACACTTGGTGACCAGTCACTGACCATAAGCACTTGGTGACCAGTCACTGACCATAGGACACTTGGTGACCATTCACTGACCATAGGACACTTGTTGACCAGTCACACTGACCATAGGACACTTGGTGACCATTCACTGACCATAGGACACTTGATGACCAGGCACTGAACAGGTGGAATCAAGTGAGACATTGTAAAAGCTAATTGTACTTTAACATCTATTTCTTGGTAAATATAGGATTATGATCTCAGTTTTCTTGGCCTGGTTGGCAGGAACATAAAAAGTTCTTATTACTAGATAAATGAGTTTGTAGGACAAGGAATCTCAAAAACATACTTCCTTTAATATCTTCTATTTGTATCTAAATTAAAAAATTTTTGACTATGTCAGACATTCATTTTTGCTTTAATGTCAGTCTGTAGGAAATTTCATTTCCTGCAAAAAGAAGAAAATGGTATCCGCAGACTGTTATAAATATACAGTTAATGGGCTTTGCCGACTTTACTGAAAACACTGTTAATGCACTTCCCCAACATCAGAAGCCCTGTATTGAATATTAAATGAACTTAGTATTGTTCTGTGAGGAGTCCTGTGGTAGTAAAGGAAATGAATGGATGCATTTCTACAGATACATTGGTTACTTAATTACTTCCTTTGATTATCATTATTTGTAATCTTTGGGTCATTCTTTTCCAAAAAGAAAAAAGAAGCACTACACATTTTTGTAGCAGCAGAATCACTGATGAGATTGAAATGTTGAGTCTTGTGTCAGAGCCCCCCCCCCCCCCCCCCCATTTACTGAATTTAAAAAGAATGATAAAAATTGTTAATATTCAAACATCAAAAATACAAAATTGAACTACTTTTCAGGTCTCCCTTTTATTTTAACAATAGATTGTTAGATTAAAATGACACAAATTACAATTTTAACCGGAAAAGATTGTAATTCCCATTGGATATTGTGGTGTGGTAATTACAGGGGGTCTGTAGTGATAGGCTTTTTGAACACCACATGAGGTTTTCCCCCACAGGATGAGGACCCTGTCGTTCATCACAATCAATACTAACTGCTACAGTCTAGTGCACAGTCCAGATTTTTCAACATAGCTTTACATGGTTGGTAATTGGATTTCTGATTTTGGCCTTTCTGAAAAAAGTTGGATAAAAAAGAGGGCATGCATGGAAAGGAATATATATTTTTAATATTTATATTTATTATTTAAGATTTTTTTCTCATTTAAATCCATGAAATATTGAAGAAATTCCAAATCGTACAATAATGTTATCTTCTGACTTCAGCCTATAATTTTGCCACCCGTCTTTTGAGCAGTGGTCGCACCCACCACCATATATTTTTATCATTGTTCTAGTTCTTAAAATAACAAGGGCCTCACACTTGCTGTGATAAACTTAAGCAACCTGAAATTTGCAATAAAAACATATTGATCAAACTAGGACCAGTTAAAAGGGAAATGATAATCAACAGTCAGTGAACTTAGCTTTGACTATTTTTGACAAAGAGAATAATTTAAAATCCATACATCACGTTTATACTGCTAAATATGTCATGCCAATAGATAATTTTTGGGTGCCTTCAACTATGCCATGTTCCAGGAAATATTTAGTGGGAATCCCATTGGGTGAGAAAATTGAACAGTTCGGTCATTTGATAATAATTACAGTCAGTGTGTGCAGTAATCCAGTGAATTGATATATACGTTGTCCAAAGGTCTGTTGTCAGAATGTGTACTGACATGGCAATACCAACTGTAGAAAGTAATAGTAACAAAAATAAAAAAATACTTTGGAGCATTCAAGTATCCTGCTGATATCAGATTATCAAAAGAGTTATTATATTTGTTATTTATTTGTTTGTTTATTTATATAACATTGTGTACAGTTCTGTACATGTTAGATGAATTCACTCTGTTTTTGTAGTTAGCTGTCAGCGAGTATTCAGACATAAGTTTAAAATGTGTGATGTCATATCTTGTGATTTTGATGTCACAATATTGCCAGTGCCTACAGTGTGATGTCACATCTTGTTTCTGTGATGTCACAATATTGCCAGTGCCTACAGTGTGATGTCACATCTTGTTTCTGTGATGTCACAATATTGCCAATGTCTGTTGAGAGACATATCATTATTACTAGCCCTTCTAATGTGTTGCATCAAAGACAATCACAGTTTTGTAAATATGTCACGTGCTTGTGTTTTGTGTACAGGCATTGTATTGTCTGTATGTTTTGTAAGTAGTTCATATCTTGTACATAAGATACCTCTCAAAGGCTGTGTGAAGGGGGAAATGCACCTTGTGATATTTGAATTTAAACTATATTTTGATATTGATTAAAATTGTGTAATTTATTTTGATATGTGAATAATATCAAGGAATTTTCAAACAGTGTTCTGTGTTTCATTATCCTTGGCACACTAAGAGCTTCATGGGAACAACCATAGAATGTTGACCTCAGAGAGAGAGAGAGAGAGAGAGAGAGAGAGAGAGAGATCTTTAAGAAGGGAGGGGTTTTGGATTTGGGGAAAAAGCGAGGGAATATTTAGAAAAGTAGTTTCACAAGGCCATACACCACAGCTTAATTGATGTCTGAAGGGTCTAGAATGATCCTAGTAATCTGCAGAAATGTGATACTGGGATATTCAATTTAAAGTTTTGTAATTGTGTTAGGTCTACCCTGAGATTGGTTAAAAGTGACAGCAAAATGTCCTTGGCACTCCATTACTGCAGTCTGATTGATGAGAGGCATACAAGTTATAGTTGAAAAACTCTTGTTATGTCAATCATAGGGTTCCTTGGCTGGAAATGTTTTAAGACATATATATTTATTCCTCTTCAAAATAAGTGGAAAATTAAGTGAAAAGATACATTTTTTGCTATGTTGACAATTACATCATGGACATAGTGGCGATAGGGAGTCACCCAAATGACCCGTTATGAGTACATCGATCGCAAACCGCGTGTAGGTACGTATAGAGCACAGTTGGAAATGATGTAATTATTAAAGGTGTTTAAAGAAACAGGCTGTGGATATTTATCAGTCTTTTTTGTCCAAGCTCATGTTCTCCTCTGCTTGCTCATCTAAGACTTTTAACATTGATGAAACCTCTCATTTGCTTTCACCCACAAACCACCATCAGTCACTGTGAATGGAGAAAAAAAATGAACAAAGTCAAAGTCGCCAAAAAGATCAATTGCTCTGTTGCTAGAAATATGGTGCTATTATTATCCCAGAAACAAATACATAAAAGCATATATTTATGTCACACACAGTGTTAAAGCAATTCAAGGAGAACAGCATTTTTCCCTCCCCCCCCCCCACCTTTTTTTTGCATGAAAAGACTCCAATTACCCCACATCCAGAGTAGATCATGTTAGAGATATGCTTGTTTTTCTTGCCAAGACAGAGAGACAGAGAAAGAGAGTGGGAACAGGAAACGTGTGGGTGTGAGAGATGGTGATTACCCCTGTGGGCGAGCAAGGTGTTTCCAGTGATTACTGCCTCAATCATTTGCCTTGCATTTCTGTCTATTATCTCTGCGTGTGGTCACACACACGCACACATGCACACATACTTTTGAATGTTTCTGAATGCTGTTAGACTTAATTATCCCTCCTCTGAAAATGATTTGTTTACCAATGACAGTTTTTTTGCTTCTGTGTCTCCACATTATATACAAATGTTCATTTATCAAGATTTTCTTAAACAACAATATTTTTTCTTTATGGACAACATCAACAGTATCTTATCTTTATAGCTTCAAAAAACCAAGTCCATGTTTCTCATAATATTAGTCAAACAGGTGATTACTAAAAAATAAAAGGTAAATAAAACATAGTGAAGGTAAATCATCATGCAGTCATTCTGTGGAGATGGCTAGCATAAATGAAATTATCTTCTAAAGTCTAAGAAGATTGTTTCAGAATATCTGTGGGTGTAATGCATCTTCTTGTGACAATTGGAGGTCAAAACGCCTCTTTAATTATCCTTACTCAAAGGAGATCCCAGGTAAAATGTCAATGTGTCACCCTGTTGACTTTTAATTAATGTAAGGCTTGTTTTTATACCCTTTATAACTTAATGATGTCCTCGAGGATTGCTGGCTGGGGTTTCTTGGAAAGGGTAATCTTTCAACAGGTATTATTTCTGCACCTGGAATTGTTACAGCTCATTGGTGTCCTTACCATGGCGCTGTTGTTTGTGATCTAAATTGTTTTCGTAAGTCATGTAAGTTGTTAAAAAAAAATACAAAAAAAACAAAAAAACATTTATATGATTTAAAATTTTTTTTATCTCAGCACATTAATATGGTTCTGTTATCAATTTAAGGTAAATCGTGTGGATGTCCCACATATATTGATGGACATATATGTATGGCTTTTACACTACTTTAGAAAATTGAAGGACGATTCCGTGGCTTTATGGGCTTCGTTATTTATCTAGTGATATCACCAAGAATGTGATAAATGGACTTGTGATAGACAGTGAAAAGGTAAAATTGGTTTATCTGGCATAAAAAGGTTGTGCATGGACTTGAATATCATTTCTTAGAATGCCTTAACTTAATTTTGAGTAAAGAAATTGTTTTTAAAAGAGGTTTCGCTGCTTCCCCCCCCCAAAAAAAAAAAAAAAAAAATTCTTGTCAGTAACAAACGCTGTCACAAAGAAACATCATTAATTGATATGTGGGGAATAACAGAATTGGCATGTTACAAAGTAACTTGATAAAATCAATTGCTTACAAAGTTAATATTTTTGTCCTTGAATAGGTTTGTCCTTAGCTTTATATACTAAGTGATGTTTATAAAAGGCATTTTTATCCTAGATTTGGACAAAAAGCATAAAGGATAAGAAGAGAGGGCTCTACCAGTCAGTGCATAAGCTGGGTCTGTACACTCACACTGTGTAGCCTATCTATCTGGAATTATTGATTCCCTCTCACCTGTAGAAATCTATACTCCCAAAACAAATATTATGTCAACTACTCTGTAGTCTTCATTTTGCCTCATTTATTGTAAGTGGGAATGATATTGTGTAGAGATGCATTTGTAAACTTAAGACCGGATGATGAAAGTGTGTGTGTTTGTTCATGTGAGTGTGTGTGTGTGTGTGTGTGTGTGAGAGAGAGAGAGAGAGAGAGAGATGAAAGAGAGGACAAATCATAGGTAAATGACAATGTATAATAGTCAAATTTTAATTTGTCATTTTCAGAGGTCCAAATCAATATATTTTACGTTGAATACTGTTAAAACATTTTTCTTTTACTTTTCTTTCAAAATATTTCATTAGAATAATGCTGACACAATTTAGTGTATGTATCTAAGTTTTTTTTTTTTTTTTTTTACTTTTAACAACTAGATACATTATAAACAGAGACTCAGCAAATATCAGGCAAAAACTAATTAAAAGTCATTCAGAAGAAAATATCACAAAGCTGAAAACAAATCATCAGTTGTAAAGATGAACTGGGTGTGAAGTTCATGAACAAAGCCTGGTGGGAGAGTGGTTGATCAGTTGAGACTCCTGGGAGACCCCGAGTTCCCAGAACTGTTCTCAGTAATAACAATACCCAGCATCTCCTGCAAATTATCAGGACCTTTTGCAAACATTGATTCCAGTTTTCCAGAGAGAGAGAGAGAGGGAGGGAGGGAGGGGGGGGGGGGAAGAGTGAGGAAAGAGAGAGAGAGGAGGGAGAAAGTAGAAGGGGTGTGTATGGCCCTATCCACTTGTGGTTTTATTGACACTTGTGGTTTTATTGTGATTTTATTGAAATGGTTTATGTTGAATATGATAATTTATTTAAAGATTGGGTATGCACAATTTATTTCATACAATTTGACTCCTTTTAAAATAGTGGATTTGAGACATTTTAGAAATTTTGTATGTACAGATTCAAACAGTCACTATCTGCAGCATCTGAAAACATATGTATCTGGGAAAAGTCACTGTTGTCCAGAAAAACTCTTCCAAAGTAGTTTAGATAAATGGCAAAAGAAAAGAATCCCATTCAGACCAAAAGCTTTTTTTTTTTCACAAACATTCTGATTGTTGTCAAAAAGACCTAGAGCACCATCTAAATCCACCTATGATTTTTAATGTCCTCATAGTCCAGCCCAGCAGTTGACCACCCCCACATGGTTAAACCACTTCACCCACCCACCCACACCCTCCCACTCCCACCTACTGCTGGGCTGGTGACTCCAGTCTCCATGGTTACCACAACCAGCCTCCACCGCGAAACAAAATGCTACAGATCCTTTTTCAGTTTTACAGACTGAACGGACTACAAGCTCTTCTCTTAAAGGCTGAGAGGCCTGCTACATATTACATGGCAGATCAATAATCCAGTCCTGCTTTAGTCGAGCCACTGCTTCCACCGACCAATATTCCGTATTGAGCTGTGTGCTAGGCAAGGCTGGTGAATTATTAATGCACCAAATATCAATGTTAGGGGATATAATACTAGGGCTGAGCACAGTCTATACAGGCACCTGTTTTGCTGGGACGTCTTTAGTGTGGATGTTTGGATCCTGTGGGATTGAAGTGTACAGTATATCAGGATCATCCATGTAGGGTATCAGTCTTACAGAGGTACATGTGGCAGTGAGACATCGTTAAGGTTTGGGCACTGACTTTGCATCAGGAAAGGCCTGTTTTCTGTTTGCTTGACCACACCTTGACCCATCTTTCTTCTGCGGCCAAGATTAGACCCAACATCCACTGGCTGTTAAGTCCTGTCCGCTGGGAATAATAGGGCAAGCTGGTTGGGGATGTACTGGAGACGTGCATTGCATTCAAGGAGATGAGATATTGACCAACCGGGTTGGTGGCTTGCATCAGCTGCGTGATTACTGACCGGACATCGAGGGTGATTATACTGTTGGCGACTATTTCAAAGGTAAGATTTGCATCCGATGACAGTATTTATAGTTGCGTTTGAGCATTTAACTGTTACTGTCCAAGAGAGCTGGGAATTATTCAATGTTTCTTCCCAGAACCTCATTGATTTCTTCTTTTTTCACATTTTCTGTTTCGTTATTTTGAGATGAGTCAGCTTGCAGAATACATGAATGATGTCGCTGAATATCATGTGAGATTGCCTTTTATTTCTAGGGGCCTTTGTCTGATTTGATCACAGAAAGGGTTAATATTCTGCAAATTGCATTAAAGCTGCTCTATGTATACCTTACTGTTGGAAAAGCATTGGCATAAAACATCACAGCATATACCTGCAGAAAGAGCTTTTTGTGCCCCTCTGCCCCCCCCCTCCCCCCCCAACTCCCGTTTAACACATAGTGCAGGCTCATAGCCAGGGGAATTGGGGGGGGGGGGGAGTCAAAAAACAAACCACCCTTTTGGTTGGAAATGTGTCTGCTCTGAATCAATATTTGATGTAGATTCTATGAGCACACAGGTTTCATCATGATAAAATATTTTTATTATTTATTTATTTATTTATTTATTTATTTATTTATTTATTTATTTATTATATTTTATTTTTTTGTGACAAAAAAGTTTTATTAAAAGGTTAAAACAAGCATAAAAAGAAGAAAAAAATATTTTGGTCTTGATTTCATTCGCCTAAGACGGCAGTTACACCAGATGGCATACCTTAGAAACAGGGTAAATTCATCTTGGAAATGTTGACAATTCACTTTGGCATGTCATATCCTAGAAACAACTTCTGCAACATGAGAACAGGACAAATACATAGGATGAGTAATATTTCAGGAAACCAATGGTTGATTGGTAATAACTTTGATGCAGGGTTAGAAGTTATTAGATTTCTTTTACATTCTTAGTTTATAAAAGCATATTGTTTTTATTTAACAAGAAAAATTGTTAAAATTTTACCAATAGTGAATTGATGTTTAAAAAAATGTGTTTCATAATTCAATTATAATTTTTTTGTTTTTTAATTTAATTTAATTTTGATAAATGTTCATTGTTGCTTTTTCATTTAATTAATTCCATTTTTCATTATTTATTTTTCTCACTCACAGGCATATTTGTTTTTTATTTGATTTATATTATTCTTTTCTTTTTTAGACTTGTTAAATTTGGACAATTTTCATAGAGTTCTATCATATTTTCAGAAAACAGTTTTGAGGTCACTGGCCCCATGCTTTTGACACCCCTAATATATACACTCCATTGTTTAAAGGTGTTTAAGCAGCATCTTCTCCACATCTGCCAATACCCTCCTCCCACTACTAGCCAATTTGATCCTACTTCTATTTCCTGTGTTTGATACTCTAGCATTATTATTAGACAGTGGGTAATAATCAATGGGCCTCACAATTACCACTGCTCTCATACGCTGTTATATAGTTTTAGGTGATTCTACTGTCAACAGGCCAGGCTTTGAAGGTATTGATCAGCATCATTACTGTTGTATACAGAGAAGCTGCCCATCCAGACCAAAGACAATCAATGTACAGTTGCATGTGCTGGCTATTTGAGGGAGTATTTGACTGTGTGTTGAATGTTACGCAGTGGAAAAAGGAATACTATTGGTGTAACACTTTTAAGTTGGCTATTAAGAGTCGGTCATCACTGCTGAGTGGCCACTGTGTGAATCTCACGGACCAAGGAGTTAATTTTGAGTGATATTGTTCACTGACCTTTACAAAAAGATCGGCTAGTTTGTGAACTTGGACCTGTGAATTTTGGTGCGTCCAGATTGCAACTAAAATTTTTGAATTTTTGAAGGATGTTTGTGAACAAAAGTTCAAGGGAAGACTAATTATAAAAGCAGGTGGTTTAAGGATAACAATTTGTCATCAGTGAAAAACTGGGAGCACAGAGAGGAGAATTCAGTGAGCAGTATAAGCTGCAAAGTTTGCTGAAAATATCATATGAAAAAATTTAGACACCACATTAAAAGTGAGTGTCTGAGGGACGCACAACCTTGTCATTAATCCATCGAAGAAACGGCGTGTGTTTCGCCCTTTTCACATCCCAAAATTTCACTAACCGAGCGCTTTCATGAAAACTCTTCCAAAATGATGAACTATCTGAAGCGTCGCTTTAGCTCAAGCGACATCCAAGGAGATTTGACTCGAGAAGAACAGGCGGCGGCAGCAGGAATTAACTGGAACTTGAAAAAGGGACCCTCCCCAAGTGCACCGAGTTCCCCGTCAAAAGCTGGGGCTGGATTAGCGCGGGGAATATTTTCTTCCAATGCTTCCCCTTCCAGTAAACCTTACTACAATAAGGACAGATGTAAAACCCTTCTAGTTATTGATGACCAGCACACAGACTGGTAAGAATGAATGACTTCTAACTGTCATCTTTTTTTTTTCTTTTTTTTTTTTTTACGCACAGTGCTAAACAAGATGTAGGTATGTCAATTTAAATGTGTGAAATTGCTGCCGGCTCTTGCTACATTGTGGCACTCATATTTAATTTAGTAATTGTCTGTGTAGAATAGCATTTTAACTTATTTTTTTCTGCTCTAATCCTGATGTTTTTATACCAACGAAGTGCTTATGCTAGCATATAATAACATCATGCAATCTAGCATGTACGATTTTAGCCAGTATCTCAAAATAAATTTCCCTTGAGAGAGTGGAAAGAACAAAGGTAAGTTGTCCGGATTTCATCATTTTTTTTTTTTTAATTAATAAACAAATAAACTCAGTGGTCTAAAATAAAGTGCAAGTAGCTTCTCCAATCAACTTCTAAATTATTTTTATACATGGTACTTCAGGCATCTTTCAGTAGGTCCGCATATAGAATCATGAGTCATCAATTACCATTCTTTATTGATTGATTAATGTAGAGAGTATACATGCTCTGAGGCTGTATTTAGTAGATTAAGAACTTAAGGGATATATATGAATAAATATATTCATAATTTCAACATTTTGTTTTATAGCATTATAGAAAAGTATGACAATAGGGGGCAACATTACAATATACTCTGACTTAATATTGAAAAAAAAGGAAGATTTTTTTCATTAATTTATCATGAATGACTGACTTGACCATGAAAAGTATTATGCTTACAGCATTTTGATTAATATTCTATTAATGGTATAAGCATGCTAAAACTTATTGCTTGTTAATGCAAAATTTTGACACTGTGACGGTTCAAACTTGGCTTTTCCAAGAGTACGTCAACTACCGCTAAGTTAGCTCAAACTATGCTTCTAAATGTTTCAAAACCTTGCCCACCCTTCGATTTAGTTCTTGTTTGATATTAATTTGGTTCAACAGTTGCATTAATCATCTAATTATAGTGAACTTATGAGTTGAAAGAATTCATTTTCAAATGGGTCAAATGTGATAATGCATTATTGAATGAATTCAATTAAGATAGAAGGACGGTGAAATATATGCACTGTAACATAATGAGCGTGATGAATAGGAGTGCTTATGGAAAGTGTTGGACTTCTATGGCTAGGGCATACTAATTATCACTAATGGGTGACCCTTGGAGACTTGGCCTTAATAGAATCTCATTTCTTTAGCTTGGTTTATTATAGCAATAAATGGGTGTATATGAGGCACAGCAAAATTGAAAAAGGTTGAAAATTGTGGACATCTTGACTAAAATGACATACACACTGAACCAGTAGCAACCAAGTCTTGCACAGTATCTTTTCTCCCCAACTCTGTTTTTCAAAATGATCATCCTTTCTCAGGCAACATGCTGTGTAGACACTGGCTTGATTACAATGATTATTCAAGTATGCAGCATAATGCATGCTCATATTTTTGCCTCATGTGAACAAACTTACTGAAGTAGAAGAATTGTTGAGATGGATAGCTGAAGTTTCTAGCCTCTTGAGAAATATCCTCAAACAGAATCGCATCCATTTAAAAAGGATTTTTTCACTACAATTTCTCAAACTGATTATGGCATTTAGAATGATTCAATTTTAAAAATTTTATTGCTTAATTCCTGAGTGGACCGATTTCTCAAGGAAGTCCATAGTTTTTGATGTTACTATGTCTTGTAGAAATTAAAAGTAATAGCAATCCCTAATAATAATCCCACAACCATTGCATATCAGTTGTACTCTCTCTCTCTCTCTCTCTCTCTCTCTCTCTCTCTCTCTCTCTCACACACACACTCTTAAACATAATTTTAGAGTACTGATGGTCACCTAATCTATGGGTCTCTGTAGTACTTTATTTTACAATGAAATACTTATATGTCAGATTAAAGCCTTCATTTGATTAGAAAAAAGAAATTTACACAACATTCCCATTTCTACACAAATTGCCTTTTGTCCTGTATCAATTTAATTGAAATAATGTTGAACTTCGTACTCATAGTTCAGAGACTATATCATGATATGATTCCATGCCACAGATTACCTCCTTCTAAAGGAAATCCGTCAGATTAAATAAATCTTCCTTTCAGACTTAGAAAAAGAGAATGACATAATCTTTAGTCAAGTTACAGAATATACTCCATCCTTTCCATGGCTCGAGACCCGTTTCTCTGGGCCCTGGCTCAAGCAAACTAAAAATGCATTCACACTCACTTCTTGGACTATTGATCAGAGTCCGAGCAGCGGCTCCACATGGCAATTTATCTCTATCCCAATGAAAAGTGTCAGGCGGGATGAAATTAAAATCAATATTCCCTCCACCACTACCCAATGCCTCCTGTTGTTTTTATACAATAACAATCTGTAGTAGCTAAAATTCTGTGGTGCGTGTTTAGTTCTCTCTCTGAAATGTTCGTGTTTGTAAACAGCAGGGAGACTAAGAACTGTTTTTTAGCTCAAAGATTGATGTAAATGCACTGACAACTCAAAGCAGGTATCAATGTTTGAATATGGTATAAGAGATAAGGATAATCCTCTTTATTAATTTATTTATTTATTTATTTATTTATTTATTTATTTATTTATTTATTTATCTTTTACAAAATGGGTTTGATTTTGTCTATATTTGCATAAAATGCAAACTACCAACTGGCCTAGGCCTAAAACAATCATGTCAGTCTTATTAATAGTAATAAGGCTTGGATAATGTTCCTCTTTTGAATAAATAACAAATTGAAAATAGAAATGAGCAAACTCATCTTGTGTTCAAAATTGTCCCAAATGATCAAAGGGTTGGGACTATTTTTTTTTTAACTTTTCAAAATTATAATAATAATAATAATTTATTGAGCACATGAATAAATAAAAAAAAAACAAAAAAAAAAACAAGCAATGCTCATGAAGGATAAAAGAGAAAACCCCATTCCATTATGTTTTCATAGTGTCATCAGCTAGTTAATGAAGTTGGGTGTGGAGGCATGACTTCATTGAGATGGAATAATTACCTGTTCATTCACCTTCTATTTTTGTATGAAGTTCTGTATTAATGACTGTAGGTAATTGGTCCATTCCACATATGTGGAACTTGGCTAAAAATAAAACCATTGATCCTCTTTTGTATGTCTGACACATTTTGTTTTAGAACATGAATAATGTGAAATCATTGATAGTCTATGAATCAGGCACAATATTATCTGTCTAACGCAATATGGGACGAGAAGATCACTCATGTGATATCCAAGTATCAGATTGAGTGGGAAAACAGCTTTCAATAATATGTCAATGTTAGCAGAGATACAGTTTTCCTGTGTGTCAGATTGCTTTGATATGAGCAACTGAAATCCAGTTTACCGTGACTTGATTAAGTCCCTTTATGACGTGGAAAATCAGGGCATCTTATGATCACACTAGACGAGCTATTTATACACATACTGTGTAATCACCCTGGGTTGCACAGTCACTGGTTCTCAGGAGCCTGCATTCAGAAAAGTGGACTAACTAGTCCGAGGGTCAAATATGGTGGACCCACTTGATTCCTTCCACACGGGAAATCTATACAGTACCTATTAGTGGATTAGACAGCAAGCTTTTTAATGGGTTGCCATATTTGACCCTGGGACTAGTTAGTCCACTGTTCTGACTGTGGCTTTAGTATTAATGGTTTCAGTAGATATTGTGGAATACACATTTTATACCCACAATGTATCAAATAGACTTCTTAATGGCTCTGATTGCAGTGGGAAGTGAGCATCCCACGAATAATACTGTCAGGTAGGATTGCTATCGACAATTTCAGCCATTTCGCTTTGCACCAAGAACCTGTGTAATCTGAATACTAATGATTAAGAATTAAGTTCTCCGTTGCTAAAGCTGGGCCTTAATTTGGAGGGTTTTTTTTTTTTTTTTTTTTTTTTTGCATAATAGCTGAGATAGTTCTGTCAAGTACTGTTTATATTTATTGTATTTTTTAATCAAAGACAGTTAATTAAATGAAAATTATAGCAGACTGTAAATGTTTCTATTTTTTATATCTTTAATCTTCTTGTTTTCATTTGAATCATCTGTATGTATTTCCCAGAGGAATTTGGCTAATTATTTTTTTCAAAAGAAATGAAATTATTAGACATGCTCAGAAATTGCATGTTTACATGAAATGAAAATGCAATTTTGCGTGTAACTTCATTTACTTGTCCTAAAAATCAGGCAAAAAGGGGGTCTTAATGACATTTATTTACATAAATCTTTTGGGACTTCAAAATATCATGATGGTCATGCGCCAAGATGGTCAGTGAGTATGAGAAAGTAGTCCATAATGCCAGATAAATGAAGTATTTCATGTGCCAAAATCGTTTTTGAGTATTGGCTCCATTTTCCATATCTGACGTAAACCATTTCCATCTGCTGGCAAAGTTTGCATGCTTAGCAGGTTTATGAAAATTATGTACCTTTGACGGTGGTGTGATGTTGACTTACTTGGCATCCTGTGTATACTGTTATCTGGCCAATTAGTCTACCGAATCTAGTTTCCTAGTGAAACAATCATTCTATGCAGATTGATCCAACTCTGCGGGGAAGCATTCAGACGAACATGCTGATTTTGTGAGCCAAAAATATCATTGGCTAAAGTAGCCCCTGGCCTAGACTTTTTTTTTCTAATTTTTTTCACTAAATGGTAGTTTCTTTCTTGATTAAGTGCACCTGCTGATACTTTGTCTCAGTGTTGTATTTGAGACTATGGGCGTATTCCCAGAGCTTTTAGATCGATCTATCCCTGCGGGGAGTCTCACTAGATTACTGTCAGATAATCCTGCTTAAATGTCCGTCCCGCCTACCACAAGCTGTAAGGGGGTAATTAACTTTCGTGCCCGCTCGGCTGACAGCTATTTAGCGTGAACCCCCAGGGAGTTAGGTCGATCTAAAGTAGATCGATCTAATCTCTGGGAATGGGGTCTATATAACAATGGCAGATCAAGGGGGAGCACTTTGGGCCATGGTCACTCACCTCCCCCCCCCCCCCCCATCTCCCTTAGCTTCTGACATCTTCCTGTTTCCCCACTCCTCTCTCTCTCTCTCTCTCTCTCTTTCTCTCTCATAATAATAACAACAACAGCAACATTAATAGTGATAATGATGATGTTGATGAAGATGAAATAAATAAATTATAAAATTAAAATACGAAGTATAAAGAAAGGAAGAAAGAAAGAAAAGTATAACATGTGAACCCCAGTAATTTTTTCTATCCTTGTGCCAAACACATAATAGAAAAAAAGCCTAAAATTGCCCTCATCTACTATTTGTTAGTATGTCCAGAGTACCCCCCCCCCCCCCATCCACCCCTTAACAAAATCCTAGATCCACCAGTACATAAGCCAGCTAACAAAATGATTAGCTTTTCTGTTGACAGTGAGGTAATCATAATCATAATCAGATTGGGTGGAGAGATATGCCCTTCAAAGACAAACTGATTTAACTTGAATGGGAACTCGACTTAACTGATGCAGACACTCAATAAATCTTGGCCGCATGTGCAGAATTCCAAATGGAACGATCTGCTAAGCCAGATGAGTTATCCTGTTGTAATATGTGTGATCAATAAGTTATTGAACTTCACACTAAGAACCTTATTCTAGGTGATTAAATCTGAAAAGGATTTTCCTTCACCTAATATCCAGTTATTTGTTTCAATAAGCCTTGACTTGGAAAAGGCGTAGACATTAGGAGCTAGACAAATGTTTCATAAAACTGGCTTCTGTTATTTCCTGCTGATATAGATTCCTTAAGTTGCTGTAAAGTTCTGAATCATTGACAGAATTACTTCATGGATGCAGATCTAGATGAACATCGATTCCCAAAGGATAGAGATATATTATATTTGAAAATCAGTATCGTGTTTGGATGTCATTTTGAAATAAATTTTACTGAAATGGAGCTTTTTATATTTAGAACATGGTCATCTTTCTGACATTTGCTAATTATTATATTTTTCACTTTTTTTCTGTAAAATAATTTAGTAATCAAACTGATGAGAGAAAATATGAAATTACTGGATTTTGCTCCTATTCCCAACTCTCACTTTCAATCAAGTGATAAACCTATACAAAAGTGATCTCTTCAGACAGTTGCCTCAATTGCCTTTGAGCCTTTGGGTAAAGCAAATTCAGATGAGCCGTCTTTAGGAATATGTATGACCATCCAAATCCTGGTGTTGAATTGGTCTGCAAATGTCCCTGCACACAGTGATATCAAGCAAAGCTAAACTTCTCTCTGTCTTTTTCTAGTATATTGGCAAAGTAATTTTTATGGTCATATTTTGATAAGACCTTATGAGTAGCACATCAAACAGAAAAGATTTTTGATCATTTTTTCATAACAATTACAATGAGTTTTAGTCTGGGTTATAGCAAGACAGCATGTTACCAAGAGGATGATTATTTATAAGGATTATGGTAATTTTATCATTTTTGCAAATGAAAGTGTGTTAGGATAAGGCCACCGCTTGCAGGATCTCACACTTACAAAAGTCAATTTAATAAATATTCCTGAAGTGGTTAGCAAATTTTTGTTATGCTTTCAGTCATCACCCTTTTGGCCTATAAGGCTTCGTTCACATGCAATGTCTATTTTCTAATTTCTATTTTCTATTTGCGCTATCTTATGATCACGGTCTGTGCCCTGAATATCCCGCCGCGTAAATACTGGCAGCGCGAGCCAGTTACTTATAGTAACTTATAGTAACTGGCTCGCGCTGCCAGTAATTACGCCGCGGGATATTCAGGCCACAGACCGTGATCATAAGACATACCGCAAATAGAAAATAGAATTTAGAAAATAGACATTGCATGTGAACGAAGCCTAAGTCTCAAAGTACTGTTTGGAGATATGTTATTAGGCAATCTTTTTTCATCTGGCTTATAATTGCTTCTTGCCCTTTCTTTTCATTTGAACCAGAGCCATCTCCATATTTCATACATAAAGTTCAATACTGAATTAACTCCCCTGTCTCACCAGTTGTGTAACTATTTATTGTTTTATAGACTGTAATTTTAAAGTGAGGATTAGCTTGTATGATGTCACAAATAACAATTGATATTTTTTTTATCTCCAGGACAAAATATTTCCGTGGTAAGAAGATATTTGGAGACTGGGACGTGAGGGTAGAACAGGTGAGTTGAACATGAAATTAGAAAATTGCTGTAACAAGAAACAAACAATATGGATTATGTACTCTTTTCAGTAGAAGAAAAAAAATTGATTTAAACAAGTTCATAGAAGCACTCAAAAGTACTTTAAGCAGCTCTTATAGCTACAGTATATTGTAGACAGCAAATGATGTTTTTTTTTTTGTGCAGTTAAATTCACTGACTGCAATAACCTTATTAAATAAAAAAATGAAAAAAATAGCATTTTGTCAGGTATTCAAATTGTGTACATTGTTTTTATTTGTTTATTTATTTTCAGGCTGAATTTTCTGAGATCAATCTTGCCTCCTATTCAGATGCAGGCACTATGGTCGATATGAGGGTGACGAGGAATGGAACAAGAGTAGTTAGGTTAGTTGATGGACACCAAAACTCTAAATGCACTTGTGCTGATTTTCATACCACACTGTGTCAGTGGTGCCTATGGTAACTTTCATCNCAGGAAATCTTTTTTGATCTGGCTTATAATTGCTTCTTCCCCTTTCTTCTCATTTGAACCAGAGCCATCTCCATATTTCATACATAAAGTTCAATACTGAATTAACTCCACTGTCTCACCAGTTGTGTAACTATTTATTGTTTTATAGACTGTAATTTTAAAGTGAGAATTAGCTTGTATGATGTCACAAATGACAATTGATATTTTTTTTATCTCCAGGACAAAATATTTCCGTGGTAAGAAGATATTTGGAGACTGGGACGTGAGGGTAGAACAGGTGAGTTGAACATGAAATTAGAAAATTGCTGTAACAAGAAACAAACAATATGGATTATGGATTATGTACTCTTTTCAGTAGAAGAAAAAAAATTGATTTAAACAAGTTCATAGAAGCACTCAAAAGTACTTTTAGCAGCTCTTATAGCTACAGTATATTGCAGACAGCAAATGATTTTATTTTTTTTTGTTGTGCAGTTAAATTCACTGACTGCAATAACCTTATTAAATAAAAAATAAAAAAATAGCATTTTGTCAGGTATTCAAATTGTGTACATTGTTTTTATTTGTTTATTTATTTTCAGGCTGAATTTTCTGAGATCAATCTTGCCTCCTATTCAGATGCAGGCACTATGGTCGATATGAGGGTGACGAGGAATGGAACAAGAGTAGTTAGGTTAGTTGATGGACACCAAAACTCTAAATGCACTTGTGCTGATTTTCATACCACACTGAGTCAGTGGTGCCTATGGTAACTTTCATCCCACACTGAGTTAGTGGTGCCTATGGTAACTTTCATCCCACACTGAGATAGTGGTGCCTATGGTAACTTTCATCCCACACTGAGTTAGTGGTGCCTATGGTAACTTTCATCCCACACTGAGTTAGTGGTGCCTATGGTAACTTTCATCCCACAC